AAAGTTTGTGCAGAAGTTTTAAAATGAAGAATTCCTTCTGAAATATTTAAAATTATTTTTAAGGAAAAGAAAAACGATTGAACTTTTTTTAAAATAATAATTTCAGGTTTAATTAAAGCAGTGTACATTTGGCGCGATGCCATTAAAATTGTGAATTGTTTCGGATATTAATTTATTTTTCTGATATTCTTCGTCAAAACTTCGGTTGAACCATTTTACAACTGACAATTGCAGATAATCTTTTATCTTCTAAAACATAATTGGAAAAAAGTTTTAAAAAAAAGCGACTGAAAATTTCACAAAGTTTAAAAACATGTGCATAGAGTTGAACCATAGATCGTAAAGGAAAAATTTAAGTTGCTGCATTTGTTAAATTTGTGACCAGCTTCGAAAGAAAATCTCTCATCAAATGAATACTTCGAATAGATGGCTAATATCTTTTATATTTACTTTAACTTACCAATTCTATTTGCAGTCCGTATGCAAAATGGATGTAAATCTTTATTTGGTGGTGGTGAATATTCAAATTTCTTAATTAACAATTAAGTTAGGGAAATTGGATGTCCTGGTAGAGTAAAAGATATTGGTACGGTAAAAGGGGATCAACAACTCGAATATAAATTTCGAGCTTACCTGCACTTTTGAACTAATGCTCTTGGGGAACGTATGAATCCATATATTCTCCCAGCTATTTAGCACAGTAGATTGGGCTATCTTCTTTTTAATGGCAACCAATCAAAGAGAATTGAAACTGAATTCGAAACCGTGGAAAAGGAATTAACTCCATTCTCCTTTCCAAGAATTCATAAAAAGCCACAGATAATAAATAAAAGGAAACTGTGGAAAGCCATGACCGCCTATATTCTGAAGAAACATGGCATTTTTTTTAAATAATAGAGAACTTGCTAGCATTAATCTACGATATTTATTTCAGATCACGGACATTTTTCACAAACTAAAACAATATTGATTATTGAATCCTTCACTTTTATCTTAATTTTTAGTTTGTTTCTTTTATCCCAAACTTTTACTAATGCCATTTATTGAGCAATGAGTCCAGGATCAGAAATAAAGGATAAACTGTCAATAAGATTCGAATTTTCCTTTGTAGTAGTGAAAACCTCTTTGAACAAACCAGCTGCTTTAACAGCAAAGTTATGAAATGGATTTTCAGACGATCATCGCTTTAAGATCAGCGCCATATTTTTTTTTTGTTTTTCAAAATATTAATATTAGTAGGAGTGTTTCTTTTGCCATAATGGTTGAAAAGTTTTAATCTAATGAGGCATAAAATAAAGAATAATACTGTTACGCCAACCAATTTTTGGCCGCCATTTGATTTATGCAGTAACTTATACTGCGCCTACATATTTCTTCAACGTTTTAAGACTTAGCCTCGATTCCATTTCATGACATCTAGAAGCTATGAAGTCCCTATTTATTATTATTATCATTATTGTATTATTTTCTTTGATTTCTGTTGCATTCTCGGATCTATCTATCTATCTATCTATCTATCTATCTATCTATCTATCTATCTATCTATATATATATATATATATATATACATATATATGTGTGTGTGTGTGTGTGTGCGCGTTTTTAAATATATCCCGAAATAATGAGGATTTAGATTGCAAGCATTCATATAAGTTTTTATTTAATTTCTTAAAAAATATAAATATGTTATCTTTTAAAAGGCTTATGTTTTTGAAAAATGCTTCAAAAAGTATAGATTCTATGCAAGGAAAAAAAATTATTAATATTAATGTTATTAATATTTTTTACAATGATTCTTGAAAATTAGAAAAATTTTATACAACAATTTAAAGATGGCGGAAAACAATTCGCTCTTTTCATAGAATTCAATTTTCAGTGGAAAAACAAATGAAAAATAATCAACGATATTTTTGTGTGCAAATTCTACTTTCCATTAAGATTTTAATCTTTCTGATAGCCACAGTCTTTAAGCAAATGGAATAGTCTTTAATTTCTTTATGTGCATGCAAATTATAAATTTTAGAATTCTTAGAGAATAAATCATTCAATTTCAACACTGTAGATTTTATAGGCATATAGATGCACTAAAAGCTTTTTTTTTTAAAAAAAAAAAATTCCACAAGAGTGGACAGTTCAGCTATAAATTGGCATATATTTTTTTTTTATTTTAAATGTGCGTAAGGATCAGAGTCCGTCTATATCTAAGGCGAACAGAAGTGAACTGTTTTCAGACCTAGAAAAAGTAAATTTTTAGTAAACATTAACAACCGGCAAAAAGAGAAAAAAAATGTTTCGTTATTAAAATCAAGAATGAATGACTTCGAAAAATCATTTTCCTATTTTTTTTCTACTAAGGAATTTAGAATAACATGTACAAAAATAAGAATATATTTATCTCTGCCACAAAAAAAAATGATACATCCCAATTGCTAAACGTCGCAGACCCGCTTTCTGTACAGTCTAATAAAACGATGACATGTGGAGTTTGTAAATTTGGCTTATCAATATGCTGATCATTTAGAGTTTTTTAAGTTCATGATGAACTACTTTTTTCCTGTTCAGTATCAAGTATCAACTAACAACTGATACATCAATTTCCCGTTCGTAGAGCCAATAAAAAAGCAATGTTGGTCTCGATAAAAGTTTGATTCATTCATAGTTTTCACAATAAATAATTGATGTGATCAACCCATGAGGAAAAAAAAAAAGTGATTGTTAGCCAACGTCTGAATCCGTTTTTGTCGTTTTTTCTTCTTCAAAGTTCAGCATCATTTAAGAAGACAACTTGTTCCATTTTTCTCAAAAGATTCTATTAGGTAAAGTCATAAATATTTTTCGTTTTTCTTTATTCACTTTACTCTTCAAAAAAATAAAGTAAATAGATTTTATTCAGTTATATTTCACCATTATTTCCAATGTATTATTCCCAATTATCAAGCAGCTTTTCGATATCATTTGAATAAATTTACGCAGTTTTTGTCGTGGAATATTTTTTCGACGAAATCTTGAATCTAGTTTTTCTCTAAAGAAAGTCCACCCTCAAGGTGTTTTGCGGCGAATGAAAATTGTAATAATCGACTGATGCAAGGTTATGTGGATATATGGTGAAGTCGGGTAAAGCAGACCAACTGAATTCTACAGTCTCCGTTATTCTTTGCTTTTTGCGGTCATGCGCTGTCATTTCGAGGAATAAGACTTTTCCTTTGAGCTATTTTCGTTAAAAAATTTTTATGGCCACGTTGCAGCTGCTGGATGTACAAATGTGCATTACGTGTTTCATTGCGTTTTAAGAACTCTAAAGGACTAATATCACGTCGACTTTGCCGCACTCACAACATTACTTCTCAGCTTTTTGAAAATTTATCTAATGTTTTTTTTTGGGGGGGGGGAGTGGTGAAAACTGTTAATTTTTTTGGAATCCATTTTCACCACCTGTATTTAAGGAACGGTTAGTCAGGATGGTGTATTCGTTATTTCATTAGAGAAAGCTTTCTCCATCAAAGCGTTTTGCAGCGATCGGAAAAAGGTAGTAATCGGTCGGTGTGAATATGAGAGTTTGGGTAGAACAGACCAACCGGGTTCCAAAACGTTTTCCTGTGTTATCTTTGATGCATTTTTATGGAGAAGAACGGCGTTTTGTTTTACTTTGATCAGCTGTATACGCTGCCACTGCTGTTTTTAACTCTCACGTATAAGTTAGGATGACAAATGACACCTACCCGCAGCCCGTCCTCTCGCTCCCCCCTCCAATGGAAATTACTTATGACTCACCATAATATTTTTATCATGGACAAGACTAGGAAATATTTAGTTTATCGAAATATTCGTGATGGTTGCGATTATTTAATTATGTGTTAAAGAATTTACGTCATTGCTGTGGATGTGCTTGTAGCGTGACGGTTATCAGCACGGAAAACGGAATCTGCGAGCCGTGTTCAAATTCCGCCCAAGACCTTTGTGTTCAATATCAATTCATCTCTTCTCATTCTAGCTATGTATTTTTTTTTTTAAGCGGGGCAGACCAAGCTTGCTATCCTAGAGTGTCTGCCAGTTTAAGAGCAAGACAACACCAAATTCAAGAACGGCCATCCAGTAAAACCAATTTAGAATTGAAACCATAGCAACACCTAGTGTGGTGAAGCTGTAACTTCACTATATACTTCACTATATAGAAGTACAAGAAGAAGAAAGAGGGTAGACGTATTTAGCGTAAATATCACAAGTTATGAAAGGTTTGTGCTGTTTAGACAACTTAATCTGGGTCGATTAAAAACAATGTGGCTATAGATAGATAAAGATAATGTGTCATTACAGGCACGAGTCGATAAGAAAGTAGTTTTAGAATTCACCGAAAGACGGAAATTAAAAAAAATGACTCTTTAAAAAGAAAAGAAAAGAAAGCGGTTTTGTTGTGAGACTAAATGTTTGAGTAATATGCATTACAATGGTTCCAAAATTCGCTAAAGTAACATGAGTTTTCTTTGCAGGAATTCTGTCTGCTAGATTCAATTAGAATTCAAGGAAAGATTGACATTTTTAGAGAAAACGGTATTTCCTGTTACAATAAACGTGTTCGTGAGCGTCCTCCCACCCGAGGAAGAATCAAGAAGAAAGATAATCCCTACGAAATTTAAACAAATGCTCAGACGATTAAGATGCACGGATTCCAATATTTGACGCCCTAACTTAGAAATAATACAACATGGCCATGCACAAAAGACGAAGAGAGTCGGATCAAGTGAGTGATCACTTGGGCGTAAAGAAAAGTTACGAGTCACTGATTTAATTAACAAAAAAAAAAAAAAAAATCAAAATGAAAGGCTTAAGTATTTCAAAGTCGAAATTAGTGAACATTAATGCGTCATCTTTTCGATAATTCATTTTATATTTGTCTAAATTAAGTTACTTTAAAATTGTCAGTTCATTCTCCACTAAGTTTTTTTTTTAAAAACTTGGGTAATATTGGATAATGGAGGCAGTATATATGCAGAAAGAGGATCTCAGATAGATAGATAGATAGATAGATAGATAGATAGATAGATAGTTGTGTATTTATCTAGAGGAAGATATGTATAGATAGATAGATAGATAGATAGATAGATAGATAGATAGATAGATAGATAATGAAAATACTGAGATATATAGATAGATATGAATAGACAAATAGATTGGTAATTAGATAGATAGATAGATAGATAGATAGATAGATAGATAGATAGATAGATAGATAGATATGAACAGAATGAGATAGATGAACAGACTGTGAGATATATATATATATATATATATATAGAGAGAGATAGATAGATAGATAGATAGATAGATAGATAGATAGATAGATAATGAAAATACTGAGATATATAGATAGATATAAATAGACAAATAGATTGGTCATTAGATAGATAGATATGAACAGAATGAGATAGATAAACAGACTGTGATATATATATATATATATATATATATATATATATATATATAGAGAGAGAGAGAGAGAGAGAGAGAGAGATAGATAGATAGATAGATAGATAGATAGATAGATAGATAGATAGATAGATAGATAGATACCCTCTCCCAAAATGCACCCCACAAAAATACTAATAACAACAATGAAAATATTTTTAAGTAAGAAAATATTTTATATTTATGTTTTTATTTGGTTTTAGCTCAAACAATAAATTACGGAAGGCCGTTAGATTTGGAAAATCTTATTTGAAAACTAATTTGCATTTTTTTTTCACATTTAAGATAAAGTTTTTGTATATCTTGTTTCTGAACAATTAACTTTAATATATATATATATCACGTGACCTATCAGGTGACATATCACATGACCTATCAGGTGACATATCACATGACATACACCAAATAGTCTAACTCTCCTTTCTATTGTATAGTTTGGCAAGTAAACAGCATTTTCATGTTCTGAGCGTATATATATATATATATATATATATATATATATATATATATATATATATATATATATATATATATATATATATATATATATATATATATGTATAAAACATTATATTTATAGTGGTTTGTTTATTTTTTATTTTTCAAATAATGAACTGGCCTGGAAATAAAAAAAATCTCATGAAATAAAATGTTTCTTCCTGCAGCAATCGTAACCGTATTCTCTAATAGAGCTTTTCTTTACTCTGTTATTTTCTTGTGGCTTCACGGCCAAAGAATATGTGTTAACGGTAATACAGGTTCGATTTCTGTCGGGAGATGCATTTTCTTTAATTGATCTCTAGGCCAGTTGATACTAAGGCTAAAAATAATTAAAAAAAAAAAACTATTGACAAACATGGATAAATATTTCCGCAATCAGAGGGATCGTCAATAGGGACTGTTTTTCCCATGACACCGCTTTTGTTTCAACTACCTTGACTCTTCAGGAATTTTGTTTTAAAAAGCAATGATTCGAATTGTAATAAAACCTAAAAATATGAAAGTGATTTTATACATTTTCTTTGTATTTGAGAATTGACAACAAAATTAATAAACACTTGGTAAATGGAATGGTTGGTAAGACATTGGATAATTGCCAATCGATTCAAACTTTATAAAATAACAAATAATAAGAATTTTCTTATAGTTTATTAGATTGTTTATTTGAATCGTTGGCCAAACATTGGCTAATTGCCAACTGATTCCAAATTTCTAAAATGGTAAATAATAAGGATGTCTTTATAATTGGTTCACATGTTTTAATAATTTAGTAAACGTTTATAAATTTATAAATTTGTTTTCATATTTATTTCTTTATAAATTGGTAAATGATAAATACTGCATTCTATTAGTTTTAATTGTATTAGTTTTTAGAATGTTACAAATATAAAATTATTCTTTCGTAGGAAAAAACCGTCCTTTTGACACTAAATTTTATCCATGTTTGCTAAAAAAATAAAATAAAAAATAAAAATAAACGGGTGTTTGCTCAAATACGTTTACTCACTAAATATAATGTTTATACTAAAAATTCTTAAAAAAAAAAAAAATTATTGTTTTTGCTGTGCGTGTACGTCTGCGTAAAGTCATTTCACATAAAACACTGAAATTTGACTTATTTTCTTTTTCTTATTGTTGTAAGCAAGACTGTATAAAATAACAAGTCATGACTTAATTTCTAGTACGGGTTACATGTGGCGTTTGACGACATCGACGACTTTTGTATATCGCGAGAGTTAGGAGGAGGAAATATTTAGAAAAAGAAATTTAAAGGCATATTTTCAGTGAGACTCAGGGTTGAGGAGGGGCAGCAGTTAATAACAATTATAAGAAAGGGACTTGTAGCCGACTGAAGGCCCGAAAGGAAGGGTCTTCTTACAGATGTACAAAAAAAGTAAATAAGAAAAAAAAAAAAATGGCGCTGAATGCATACAATTGCACATTATAAATACATACAATCAAAGCAGACAATTCTCTTTTACAAACTTTTTGACCAATGTAAACGAACGAAACATTTAAAGAGCATTTTTTTCATGTTTTCATTTTACAGAATACAAATAAATTATTTTGAATTGATAGAGTTTTGTTTACAATATTTATATTGAACGGAATGCTGTCTTCATCTTTATTGCCATATTCACGCCGTTTTCGGCCTTCTTCAGGTGATTGAAATTTCGAACTGAAATGTTTATTTCGTTCACAAGGGTGTAGATTATTCTAGTTCCACGTGCCATACCTCTTCCAGATATCTCAGTATCAGTTATTTTCCTTTAACTCAACTCTCCATGTTTTTGTTCACCTCTGCTGTAGCCGGGTATTGAACTCACAACTCTTTTGGGTCAAGTCATTGGGTTCAACCAACGCTTTTATCCACTGGGCCATGCGTCCTTGAGGAAGAGACATGGCACGTGGAACTTGAACAATTTACCCCGGTGGACGAAATAAGGGTTCGGTTCAAAATTTCTATCACCTGAAGAAGGCCGGAGCGTTCGACGGACGAAATGTTGTGAATATGGCAACAAAGATGTGGACAACAGTTCGAACAATGCAAATAGTGTAAATAATTACAATACCTCATCTCAGAAATATATAGTTTTTTTTTTTTTTTAAATACAAATAAGTCGGTACTGGACGTTTATTTTTCAAGGATTGACTTCGGGACATCCCACCGTAGAGCAGCATTTAGTAAGCAGGTTTTGTAGACTATTATTATAACGACTTTAATATTCACTGGATGCTCTATATATTTAGCCTGGTATCAGACTAAGCAAATGGTTTACTTTTAAATTCAAGCAAGTAAATGTTAATTTGACTCAAGTAAAGCAATTTTACAAGAAGCTTCTGACTTTGACCCAAATCCGAACAGTCTAAAAATAAATAAATAATTCAAATTCCGTACGTATCTCAGCTGTACGTCCAAGCTTGCAGTATCTGGGATTCCCAAGCAGTCACCCATTTAGGTACTGACCAGGCTCGACTATTCTTAACTTGATCGTCCGAGAGCCGGTATTTGAAAATGATATGGCTGTGAGCCATACCAGTCACACAGCACCTGATATTTCCAGGTGGTCACCCACCTAGGTACTGACCAGGCTCGATGTTGCTTAACTTGGTGAACATACGAGAACCGATGTTTGAACGAGATATGGCCATAATCCAAATAAAAAGAGAGAAAAAAAAGATATTGAGCTATTTGAGTATGATTATATTAAAAATACACGAAAGTAGTTTTAAGCTTGTATACATTTAGTCACTAAGAAATTATTGGATTTTATTTGTAATCGGACATTATTTCTTATTACTCTACACGTTATATTTAGTGGATACCCGTGTTTTAATAAACGCCCTGTTTTTAAATGGTATAAATTTAGTATATCAGCCCGAATTTTTCGATAATCTTTATTAAAGATGTACCATTCGGCAGGGTTCGAACACGCGTTCCCCTTTGCAGGGGGAAACCATGGTAATTATCACGCTCCTTTATTAATAACTCTCAAAAAACCAAGCTGTTAGACAAAAATTACTAAATATAACGTTTACAATAAGAAAAATAATGTAAATAAAAAGCCCTTAATTCCCCGCCTATATATATATATATATATATATATATATATATCCTGAAGATTGCGGTCAAGCATGAAACAGACTCTCGCTATTCAGTGTTGATACCAATGTCCACACATATTATGGATGTGATATAACATTTAGCTACAGTGGAAGCGTCTGGTTAGCAAGGTTAAATTACTATTTTTAAACTACAAGATACACTCCGAGCAGATGTGAGTACTCGGGAGATATCATGGGAAATTTGTAGTTTAAAAACTAGCTAAATTTAGTTACAGAGGAAGCGTCTGGCTAATGTCTGGTTATAAAACTAACGTATAAACAGAAACTATATATATATATATATATATATATATTCAAGCATGTTTGGCTGAATAATCTGGACATATTATGTCTATTTATTTTATTTTAATCCTCTCAAATTCACGAATCAATTTCTTAGTGTAGTTATTAAACTGTTTAAGACAGACGCCGTAGAATAAATTAGAATTAATAAAATAGACACAGTATGTCTACATTATTCAACCAAACATAATTGAATGAAGATATGCCACCTATACACACACACACACACACACACACACACACACACACACATATATATATATATATATATATATATATATATATATATATATATATATATATATATATATATATCGCTAAATAACAATGTTTTTATTTCATTTTAAACGGATTGGGTCAAGGTCAGTTTTTCTTGCTGAATATTTGAAGAACGATTCTATTAAAATAGAATCAAGTCAAGTGAAAAAAAATTTCTGTATAAAATATTTCAAGGATTTCTTTTCATGTTTCTAGCAGTTTTCGTATCAGTGCAAAAACATGGGGATACAAATAAAAAATATTCTTTTTTTTTGTTAAAATATATGAAGAATTAGAAAAATTGTGACAATTTAGGAAAAAATAATCTTCTGAAACCTTATTTCGGAAGATCGATTCATTCAATTTTTTTGGTTTTAAATAAAATGAAGTATTAACAAATAACCTTATTGGCCGACTCTTCCCGTTCAGATGAGCCACCATTTTGACATCCGATGAAAAAAAAACAAAAAAAAAACAACAAAAACAAAAAAAAAACAAAGAACAAAAACCAAACACAATGAGAACACTAAGAAAAAAAATCAGTGATTGACAAAAAGAAAATGGGAGAAAAAGTATGAATGAAATTTGTGAATGAAATTTATGAATAAAAAAAGTAACCTTTTTTTTCCAATCGCAACCAATTCGAAATGAATTCAATAATTTAATGAAGTCTCTTTCAACGAATGCGTCATCTTGCTTTTTTTTTTTCTTTATCTTGTCTTTTGTCGTGCAGACATTCACTTTCTGCTTTTATCTCCACAAACATGTATGTATGCATTCGTGTGTATGTGTGCGTATATACATTTGCGTGTATAGACGTGTGCGCGCGGGTCGTGAAACGGTTATCGGCACGGAAAGTGAAACTAGCGTAGCAAGTTCAAATCCCGGTCGATTCTGTTTCGTTCAGCTGGTGCTGACGCCCTTGAATACGGTACAAATTCATCTTCCCCCATGGGTTAAAATAACATAGCAGACTGGTCCCTCTTGCCTGGATAGGGTAACCAGTCTAGGAGAAAGAATACTGAATTTAAAATCAAAGAAGGATAGGCTCCGTCAGGTTATCTTGCCCAACACACACTACTGTGGCCATGGCTACAGTACCAATGATAACCCTACGACCCTAAAGGGTTACGGGACTTTTGACGTGACGATATGTGTTTATGGGGTGACTATATATGTATATGCATGTGCATGCTTTTTTATGTATGTGTGCATGCATGTTTGTGTAAAAAGGGATTTGTTTCTAAGTGTGTGTGTGTGTGTGTGTGTGCATTCATAACCATTTGGGTATCACGGATTTTGAAAGAACAGGAATAACTTGACGGATTAGCCACAAACGTTGGCAATTGATTAAAGAATCAGCCTTATTCCTTTTGTATAATTATTTACCAAGCTTAGTATGACAAGAAAGATTGCATTGTGTCAATCATTCGTCAACTGGAGAAGGCCTCCCTACCTTGAAAATCAGTATTCGCAATCCTGGCTTTTACCAGGGCTCGAACACCGACCACTAGCACCAGTGGCATATACATAAGTATGTCAGCCACCAAGCAAGCCGTATGTGGTTTGCGTATATATGTATTCATGAATATGGATTATACAACGAATATGCAATTATTCATGAATTAGTGTCTGTGCGTGTATTTTATAAATGTGTGTACATGGCTGGGTACAGTTTCATAGGTTCGAAGGTGGACAACTCACGGAGTGCACAGAAGTGAGAGTAGTCTCTGTTAAGCTTGTTAGACGCGGGAGGCCCGTGTCAATTTCTCGAGTCAATGGTGGTTCTTTTTGACTGACGTCAGAGCCTCGTTTCTGAAACGAACCGTTATTTTCGTTGGCATTCGATGAGCCCCGCACAAGTCCGTGATTGCGTTTCGCTTGCAAGATCGACATGAGCTCCTGTCGTGCCACCTTGCTGCGAAACACATAAACCAGCGGGTTAAATAAACAACTGGACAATGCCAAAAATATCGCTGTCCCTTGCATAAACGGATGGATATCTTCCGACTGAAGGAGAATAGTAGACTCCATGACAATAATGACGAAATATGGAAGCCAGCAGATGATAAATGTGGAAACAACTAGCATGCTGGTAATGGCGGCTTTCCATTCGTCCCGGTGCCAAAGTAGAGAGCTAGTCCGACTTGAAGTGCTCAACTTCCGGCTAAGAATAATGGGAGCAGTGCTACTTCGACGCCTACCATAACGAAGCGGAGTTTGGGATTGTTCTTCACCGTTGTTTGGAACGACACTGTTGCGTCGCGTTCTTTCGCTGTTGTCCCTAGCTGCGCGAAAAATAACAGCATATGCCCACAACATTACCAACAGCGGCATTACAAAGCATATTAACGATAAAAATAAGGTATACGTTCTATCTGTGTAATAAGGACTACGCCATAGAACAGTACAAGAATATTTCTCTGGTTGATATTCAAAATGATTCCAGCCCATTAAAGGAGGTAATGCCGCCACTATAGCGAGAAACCAGACCCCAACAATCATTAAAGTTGCCCTCTGCATTGTTATACGCATATTATAGTGTAGCGGTGTTATGACCGCGCAGTAACGGTCAATTGAAATGACCACCAAAGTCAGTGTGCTTGCAGCAAAGATAACGTTCATAAGAAAACCAGTTGACTGGCACCAGATCTCTTTGAAGATCCAGTCTCCGGTCACCGTTGTTACGAAGACGAAGGGCATCACAAAAAGGGTGTTCAGAATGTTGCAGAAGGTCAAATTTAATATGAACCGGTTTGAAATAGTCAATAAAGATGGTCTCTTGAAGAAGACGAGACAAACAAAAAGGTTACCGGCAATGCTACCAATAAAGATGCAAAGAACGGTGAAAGCAGTGAGTCCGATTCTTAGGGATTTTAGCGCAGAATTGCATTCAAAAAACACTTCATTTTCATTCAGGTCTGTTGTGGACGTTAGGTTGAATTCAAGTTCAGATGCTATTTGATCAGTTAAATCATCGGTGAAGTTTTTATTAAGATACATACTTGTCATATAGATCACTAGTTTTATTGATATATTGAACGTTTCTTTGTTAAATTTACTTTTGATCGTATATGCTTAAAGTTTCTCTCATACAATAAAAAAAAACCCAGTGTGTGTGTGTAGAAGCAAACAACCAAGGGAGGTAAGTCGTTCAGGAACGTTAATCCCTTTTGTCTGTTTCTCTTCAGCAGCAGACGTCACTGTTGATTGTATGAAAGTTGATATTTTACGGCGAAGCCATCTTCCAATGTTGTGGTGGGCGTCCAATACTGACTGCAGAGTACAATTTAGTTGAGTTAAGACGAATACGTTCAATGCCGGCCATTGCTATCAGCACTTCTCGGACTTACAAACGCATCTGAAAGACAAAGAAAAAAACAGAATGATTTAGGGAAAAGAAATATTACATAAAACATCTACCGGATATTTCCGCGTATAAGACGACTTTTAAATCCCAAAAATCCCCCTTAAAAATTGGGGGTCGTATTATACTACAATTCTAAAAAAGAAACTTTAAATTCTGAGCGATATTTGTCGGTTGGTTAACCTTGGCCTCAGTGCGATAACCAATGCATATTATCAAATAAACAGATAATGAAAATAATAAAACTATTTCCACCTAATATATTAATGGCATAACTTAATAATAAATTGCTTATTTGAAGAATAATTCCATATCAATGAAATCAGCTGAGAAAATGTAAAGTATTGCGTTCGCAGCAACTTTTATTTTTCACTAAACTTTCAATAATCATCATTAATTATTAGTAATAACATTTAGGATAACATAATATTCATTTCTCATTAAAAATACATTATCATTTTGGCATTAACATAATATTAGACACAATTCACGATTACATACAATCTTTATTTTTCAAATAAAAATCCGTTTACGATAGATGCATTTGAAACTTTTAGGATTTTATAAAACTATTTATTTCCTATCAAGTTATTGATATTAACAAAACAACATTGCTACATATATATCTAAAACCTCTCAAATTACTCAAAACCAAAAGTATCTGCTTCAAAAGGTTTCTCTAACACATCACCAGATTCACCAGTTTACTTATACTACAGGTAAAGGATAAATTCATGAACATTTGCTATACTTTTTCATCTCGTCTTATTTAAAGATCGCCGTATACGCGGAAATGTACAGCATTATATATAAGACCGCTAATATATAATAGCTGGTCACTCGAATTCGAGGATACCCGTCTACTAGAGCGGCTAGCCACTCCCTATTGCAGACGCCCTAACAGGCACATTTGTGCTTGTTCAACACCCACAGAGTCCACTTGTGGTTTATACAGCGATTGTACTGAGCAGACTTTAGTTACAGTTTCTGAGAGAGAGCGTGATCAGCAATTTGAACAAGACCAGCACGCTCAAGCACTCGGCCACGATGACTTGTGGCTTCGTGCTAGCACAGCCATCGACGGACCCCAAGACGGAAATCTTGGGGCCGTCTAATATATATATATATATATATATATATATATATATATATATATATATATATATACTGAATATGTCTAAGTGCTAAAAAATAAAGCTTCATGAATGACCAAAAATGAAACTGGTTCATCCGTCATACAAGAATTGAAACATATCAAACAATACGGTGTTCTAAGCGATGGTACATGTCTTCAACTTGTTCTCTCACTTTGGCGTCAGATGGTTATTAACGATTACATGTGGTTTTAACAAATATATTTGTTATGGACATCTAAGTTCGTATTTACTCGTCTTTGAAAAGGTACACGTTTCTTTGTCAAATTAATTCTAAAATATCTACGATTTTATTTAGTCATTTTAAAATGTATTAGTTACGTTTTTTACGATTCGTAATTGTTTATAATTAATAACATTAAATCTTTACGATTAGTACTGTTTCAGTAGCTTGGTAACCTTGACATATTTGGGAAGAATATTAGAATAATCCAGAACCTATATTGGTAGAAAACCACCTGAATACGGATAGAAAATGAATTCAGTAAATACACAAAAATAAAGACAAGGGTGTGTCGTCTCACCGGACATATACAAAGAACCGATTCTGAGAGAATAGGAAGTCTTACCAGGATGCACTACTGGCGGACACAATCTTAACAACGAACGATATAATGATGTCACAGTGTTGACAGTAGACACGGAAAGGAAACTATATAAACTCCTACAGAAGGTAGTGAAGGAAAGCGAGAAGAAAGGACTAAACATTAATTGCAAAAAGACATAATGCATCGTTGTTAGTAAATTCAACAGCACAAATTGCAAATTATAAATTATACATACCAGAATCAAAAAAATATAAATAACTAGATATCTAGGAAATGTTTTAACATAGGACTGAATGTGCGACATTGAAACCCAAAGGCGCATTGGGTTAGCGAATATATTAAAAAAACAGGAAAATCACGTTAGAAAAAAAGAAAGAAAATAGTATTGAATTGTTACGTAACATTAATCCTCCGACGGCACATAAAAAAAGAAGACGTAGTGATATATTCATTCAACTTGTTCTCTCTCTATGGCGGCAGATAGTCGTTAATGCTCACAGGTAGTTTTCACAGATATATATATATATGTTACGGACATCTAAGTTCCTATTACTCGTCTTTGAAAAGGAACATCTTTGTTTAAGTCAGTGTTCTTCAACTTTTTTTCTTTCTTCAGGATACACTTATAGAATTAACTAAAACTCTGGGGTGCACTTTAAATTTAAGTCCTTAAATTAAAAAATAGGAAAATAATACAGAAGTTTCCGGAAATAAGCATTTATTTTAAGACATTACATTGCTTGGTGTCTGTTGCTATTTAAAATAAAGATTTTTTTTTAAATATAAAAGTAATTAATAAATTAATCGTCTAGTTTTCAATTAATAAATTAGTTTTCAGGACGCATTAGTGCGACTGGTCGTTTAAGTACAACCTTAAGTACACCTTGGTTTAAGTACACCCTGCTTTAAGTACACCCTGGTTTAATACACCCTGGTTTAAGTACACCCTTGCACAAATTAATTGAAACAAAACGAATAATTACATTATTATTTACTTTTTTTTGTATTTTTCAATGAAACATGACCCAGGGCACTTGTTAGTATTTCATACGTACATTCCTTGCAGATTGACCATAGATTCTTGATTGGATTTAAATTAGGAGAGTTTTCGGGCCAGTCTATAGTACTTTGATTTGCTCACTCGTAAGGCTTGCCAGTGTGTTCACGCAGCGTTACAATATTCGTATGTTTCCTTGGAGTAACGTCCATCGCAGACAATGGCCGTAGGACAACTAATCGACAGTCAAGACAATAGTGTATGGGTGTGATGAAAATCTGATGCAATCACGGATGACCCAATATTTTTCAAGACCAAACAAATTTCATCATACATCCCGAAAATAGATTCATATTACTGCACACCACTGCAAATGACTTAATCTGAGGAAAAAATAGAAATCGATTACACCCTGTCACTCCAGAGGATCTAAAACTGACCGTATGGTGAAAGAAAGCAAACTAAAGCAGTTGTTTCAATTAATTTGCACAAAGGTGTAATTCATAAATATTTACACTTTTATTTAGGCATTTTAAAATTTATTAAGATTAGTTATGTTTTTTTTTTTATAATTATTAATACTATAAATTTTTTAATTAACACATTATTATCATTAAAATTTTATGATGAGTAATATTGTAATTAATTTAATTCTATTTGATTATCAGATAAATCCGTTCATTTTTTTCCATTTATTTTTATCCTATAAATTTTTATAAATATTTTTATCCTAAATATTTTTATCAATAATTTTAAGAAATCAGTCAATAATACAAACAAATATACAAATATTGCCGAGGAAGAACAGAGTTACAAAAAACATACACATTATGGTAAAAAAGATTTTAAGTTTTAATTCAAATAACATTGGTTTATTGATTGATATTTTACGATTTATCAATCTTCTGCAGCTTATTTAAAATCAGAAAATGTTTTTAGATTGTAAGAATTTTTGTGGGTGGGGAAGAGGATAATAATGATATTTGGTAGGGAGAGGATAATAATGTTTTTGAGGGGGAGAGGATAATAATGATTTCTTCGGGGAGAGGATAATAATGTTTTTGAGGGGGAGAGGATAATAATGATTTCTTCGGGGAGAGGATAATAATGTTTTTGTTTTCTTCGGGGAGAGGATAATAATGTTTTGAGGGGAGAGGATAATAATGATTTCTTCGGGGAGAGGATAATAATGTTTTTGAGGGGGAGAGGATAATAATGATTTCTTCGGGGAGAGTATAATAATGTTTTTGAGGGGGAGAGGATAATAATGATTTCTTCGGGGAGAGGATAATAATGTTTTTGACGGGGAGAGGATAATAATGATTTCTTCGGGGAGAGTATAATAATGTTTTGAGGGGAGAGGATAATAATGATTTCTTCAGGGAGAGTATAATAATGTTTTGAGGGGAGGATAATAATGATTTCTTCGGGGAGAGTATAATAATGTTTTTGAGGGGGAGAGGATAATAATGATTTCTTCGGGGAGAGGATAATAATGTTTTTGACGGGGAGAGGATAATAATGATTTCTTCGGGGAGAGGATAATAATGTTTTTGAGGGGGAGAGGATAATAATGATTTCTTCGGGGAGAGTATAATAATGTTTTTGAGGGGGAGAGGATAATAATGATTTCTTCGGGGAGAGGATAATAATGTTTTTGAGGGGAGAGGATAATAATGATTTCTTCGGGGAGAGGATAATAATGTTTTGAGGGGAGAGGATAATAATGATTTCTTCGGGGAGAGGATAATAATGTTTTTGAGGGGAGGATAATAATGATTTCTTCGGGAGGGATAATAATGTTTTTGAGGGGAGAGGATAATAATGATTTCTTCGGGGAGAGTATAATAATGTTTTTGAGGGGAGAGGATAATAATGATTTCTTCGGGAGAGGATAATAATGTTTTGAGGGGAGAGGATAATAATGATTTCTTCAGGGGAGAGGATAATAATGTTTTGACGGGAGAGGATAATAATGATTTCTTCGGGGAGAGGATAATAATGTTTTTGAGGGGAGAGGATAATAATGATTTCTTCGGGAGGATAATAATGTTTTTGAGGGGGAGAGGATAATAATGATTTCTTCGGGAGAGTATAATAATGTTTTTTTGCGGGGAGAGGATAATAATGATTTCTTCGGGGAGAGGATAATAATGTTTTTTTTTGACGGGAGAGGATAATAATGATTTCTTCGGGGGGGGATAATAATGTTTTTGGGGAGAGGATAATAATGATTTCTTCAGGGGAGGATAATAATGTTTTGAGGGGAGAGGATAATAATGATTTCTTCGGGGAGAGGATAATAATGTTTTTGACAGGGAGAGGATAATAATGATTTCTTCAGATAATAATAATGTTTTGAGGGGGAGAGGATAATAATGATTTCTTCGGGGAGAGTATAATAATGTTTTTGAGGGGAGAGGATAATAATGATTTCTTCGGGGAGAGTATAATAATTTTTTTGAGGGGAGAGGATAATAATGATTTCTTCAGGGAGAGGATAATAATGTTTTTGATCAGGGAGAGGATAATAATGATTTTTTCGGGGAGAGTATAATAATTTTTTGAGGGGAGGATAATAATGATTTCTTCAAGAGTATAAATGTTTTTGAGGGGAGAGGATAATAATGATTTGGGGATTGGATAATGGCTTTTTGAGGGGGGATAATAATGATTTCTTCGGGAGAGTCCAATTCTTTTTGAGGGGAGAGGATAATAATCACTTCCAGAGTAAATAATGTTTTTTGACCAGATAAATGATTTCTCAAGAGGATAATAATGTTTTTGACAGGGATCGGATAATGACCAGTTCAGATAATAATAATGTTTTTGAGGGGGGAGGATAATAATGATTTCAATCCGGGAAATTAATAATATTTGAGGGGAGAGGATAATAATTTTCTTCGGGGATTAATAATGTTTTTGAGGGGAGAGGATAATAATGATTTCTTCAATTGGTCGGACTGAGCGATAATAATGATTTCTTCGGGGAATAAAATGTTTTGATGGGAACATAATAATGATTTCTTCGGGAAACAAATAAATTTTTTGATTGGTGAGGATAACACCAGTAAAATGTTTTTGACGGGGAGGATAAATATTTTCAAAATAATAATTTTTTTGATATCAAAGGAAAAAAATGAAATAACGTTTTTATGGACAAATGTGATTTTTCAAAATTTTTTTCAGGGGGACAATAATAATGATTTCTTCAGGGAGAGGATCGTCATGTTTTTGATTAAAGGAAATAATGACTACCAACTTTAATAATGTTTTTGAGGGGAGAGGATAACATTTGATTTCTTCTAATAATGTTTTGAGGGGAGGATAATAATTTTCAAATAAAATGTTTTTCGGGGGAAGGATAATAATGATTTCATCAGTAATGGTGTTTTTGAGGGGAGAGGATAATAATGATTTCTTCGGGGAGATTTGCTTGGTTTGAAGAGGATAATAATCAGTTCTTCGGGGAGAGGTTTTTTGAGGGAGGACATTTGATTTCTTCGGGAGAGATAATAATGTTTTTGAGGGGAGGATAATTATGAAGGGAGGGATAATAATGATTTTGCTTGGTAATAACGATTTTTTTGGGGAGGTATAAATAATATTTTGCGGGCAGTTGTAATAATGGTTTTGGAAGAGGATAATTTTTTGTTTTTTTTTGTGTCGGAGAAATAATTTTCTTGGGGACTAAAAATGTTTTTAAGAGGATAATAATTTTCTTGGGGAAGAGGGTAATAATTTAAAATAATTTAAGATACAAGTCCTGACTAACTCGTCAGTTAATGAATGCCAAATGTACCGTTTCTTAAGTGTACCGCGAAATACTGATACATTTTGGATATCAATAGAAAATAATATCCCACATTAACTAAAAAGGCTTTATCAGTTTTATTGAACTTTTCTACTCCTTATTTATGTGAATTTAGCTCCTCAACCCTAAATAACGAACCCGATTTGAATTGGATCATGGCTCTCCAATTCCAAGCTGTTATCCATTACACCAACCGAGCATCCATTCTCACAGCACTTGGTCACCCATCTAAGTTCTGACCAGACTCAACGTTACTTAACTTCAGTGATCGTATGAGAACCAGTTCAGATAACACTAGAAAACACGAACGAATTTTGCTATCAATCCGGTAAATTAGTATCTAGACTCCTTTTCCGATTTAGTGAGTGGAAGCAATGTGAATTGGTCGGACTGAGCGGCAAAACTTTAATAAAGATTAAATGAACAGAAAGTTAGAAACAAATAAATCTTTATTGGTGAAAGAAAACACCAGTGAAGAATTGTACAAATATTTTTAAAAATTATTTTGATATCAAAGTTGTCCGTTTTTATGAACAAATGTTTTTTTCCTCAGGCAAAATGTAAGTTCGTTCATTTAAATTAAATTGATTGACTACCAACTTTCAGGTAACATTTGATAATTTCACACCATTTCAAATAAAAGATTAGGAAGGAAATCACCATCAGTTGGTAGGTTAGAAGAGAGGTCATTTGCTTGGTTAAAGAAGAAATCAGTTTTTCACGCGAGAGCTTTTCTTGGTTAAAGTGTTAGGTTAGAAGTTTTCTATTGGTGACCATTCTTAGTTTTTTCCCTGGAAGAGATCATACTGAACTTCCTTTTATACTTTTTAAGAGAAAGAATCTATTTTAACCTTCTGACTGCTCGGTTAATGAATGCCAACACCTTTTCTTGTCGGGAATATATTACTATTACCGAAAATAGGTCAAACTGTGGTATTGTTTTTAGGAAGTTCTCAATAGTATCGCACGCTGGGATGGTTTCCCTTTTACCGATACTATCAAGCCGGCCCCGTCTTGATAAATCGACCAATGCTCTCATGGTGGGAAGGCTATCGTTCTAACCATTCGGCTAAATGGTCCAATATTATAATTGAAGCTCTGTCAAAATGATGAGAACTGTTTCAAGGTTGGAAACAAATGAAGTCGTATTTTGCGGCATCATTATTTATTCATTTCCTTCGTTGTCCTTTTGTTTTCTATGCTAATGTAGTTCTTTCATTTCCCACTTTGATGCCGACGTGTCAGGTAACATTGATAAGTGCAATAAAGACCTATATTTCCTTCTTTTCTTTTTTGTCATCCTTTTCCACGCGGCTTTTCTGTGTTATTTCTGTTTTCTATTGTGACCATTCTTATTTTTTCTCCCTTCATATTTAATTCTTATATTTTCTCTATTTTATCCTTCATGGTTCCTCTATTATTCTCCTTATATATCTTTGTCTTTTTAATTTTTCACTCTATACATGGCCCAAGAAGCAGTCAATTCGCAGAGTTATTGAATGATTTTGTTGAATGAGCATAAAAGGGGAATGCATATTATGAGGATATTTAACGGGTAAGTTAGAGTTCGGCTGCATAGTGAGGAGCGAGCAGTTGCTAGGTTATATGACAAATCAGCACCTAAGTTATAGGGGAGATCACTTGCGAGGCCAAACAAGAGATCAGTTGCTAGGTTAGAGAAGAGATCAGTTGCTATGTTAGATTAGAGTTCAGCTGCATAGTGAGGAGTGATCAGTTGCTAGGTTAGAGAAGAGATCACTTACTAGGTTAGACGAAAGATCAGCTGCATAGTGAGGAGTGATCAGTTGCTAGGTTAGAGAAGAGATCAGTTGCTAGGCTAGATGAGAGATCAGCCGCATAGTGCGGAGTGATCCGTTGCTAGGTTAGAGAGTTCACCTACTAGGTTAAATGAGAGATCAGCTACATGGTGAGGAGAGATTATCTGCTAGGTTGGAGAGGAGATCAGTTGATAGGATAGAGGAAAGTTCAGTTTCTAGGTGAGAGAAGAGACCATTTGCTAGGTTAGAGAAGAGATTAGCTGGTTGATTAGAGGAGAGGTCAGCTGATAAGTTAAAGGATAGATTAGCTGTTTGGTGAGACGACAAATTTGCTGCGAGGTTAGAAGAGAGATTAGCTGCTAGAGGGATTAGTTACTAAGCTGGGGGAGTGATCAGTCGCTAGTTTAGAGGAGAGATCAGTTACTAGGTTAGAGGAGAGATCAGTTGCTGTCTCAGAGGAGAGATCAGCTGCTAGGTTAGAGCAGAAATCAGCTTCTTGGGCTCTGGTCATGTAGATTTTTGGAAATGCACATGCCATTGTATCATCTGTTTAGAAATTTAGTAAAGGTCTGCGTATGTTCTTAGGTACATCGTTAACACAAAGCAGACAGATGGTTGAACAGAAAAGAGAGCCTTGTGCAACGCCTACATTGATCACGTGGGCTTCTGAAGATTGACTATTAGTTATCTATTCCTCACTTCTTCTATGTGGCTTGTCCCTTTTGAACGTTAACGATTATGGCGATCCAACACTTCCTATCATTTGTAGCACTTAATAAATTTTGTCTTTTTGTTATCTCTCCTAAACATTGCTCTGCCATCCATTTAATGAAGGTCACTAAATAGGTTATGTGTTATTTTTATCTATCTTCCTTGCCTTCAATCATGTCCTGTGAGTATCATCGTTTCCAGGCCTTCTTTCCTCGTTATGTGCCTTAGAAAATTCAACTGTCTTCTCATTGTGTTAAGTATAAATGTCCTTTTTGTTTCCATTTTCTTTCAAACTTCATCGTTGCTCACATGTCGAATCCATGTTATTCTACCTTCTGTAGAACCACATATTTGCTGTTTCAAGTCTCTTTTTCATTTGTGAGGAGATTGTCCAGAGTTCATTGCCATAGAGAAAGATTGATATTACATAACACTTCAGTACTCGTTTTTGTTGTTTCTAGCGAGATTTTCGTGTTTCTTAATACTTTGCTTAGCTTTTAGAAGGCTTCTTTCGCTATCCTAATAAGTCTTTGGACTTCAGCGTCAAACTTTCCGTCCTCTTTTAAAACACTTCCCAGTTATTTAAATTGTTGTACTTACGAGTTAATATTAGTATATCATTTTAGTACGACACGAGGGCGAGGACAGAGGGAAGATTGTACTGCGTTAATCGTCCAGATAAGGACAGTCTGCACTCGTTCAAAATCTGTTTCTATGTCCTTGTGCACTGTAGTGTGGCGACAGCTGTGAATTTTGAGCTTTACCGCCTTTGCAATGTCAGACTTCTCTCTGCATATATGCACGCTTCTCTTTCCCCTTTTCTCATGTTTCTTTGCTTGGCACACTTTCTTCTTCTTCTTCTTCTTCTTCTTCTTCTTCTTCTTCTTCTGACCTTGTTGTTTTGTTTTCATTCACGACTGTGAGAAGGAGTCATTTCCTGCCAGCCTTTCTACTTAGAATTCATTTACGTATGACTTCAAAGTTCATTTACATAATTATATATATATATATATATATATATATATATATATATATATATATATATGTGTGTGTGTGTGTATATACTCTCCTCAATGCCTACATACGTAACCTGCTTGCCATCGAATGAACGAAAAAACAAACTACCCTATCAGTCGAGTAATTCCCAACCCAGTTATCTAGACACAAATGTGGGTCACAACGATGAAAGCAGTCGATGGTTTAGACCAGTAGTTCCATGGAGCACTTTTAAAATATGTGAGTAATGAATAAATTTTAAAAGAAGTGCGGATGTATTCAATGAGATCCCTGCGGTTGAAAATGTTTGGTGATGTTTTTTTCCATGTCCATTCTATTACTAAATTTATATTAATATATTAATATTTTATTTTATTAATATTTAAAATTAATATTATTATTTATTATTAATATATTAAATTAATTTATATAAAAAATTATGGTCTGGATATAATCCTTCCTTTATATATCCTTCTCAGTTTTTATTAAACTTTCAAAATTAAAACATCCGGTAGACTAAAAGGGACGCTAATCTACATCCCTTGATCCTGCACTTGATCACACACACTTTCTCTCTCTCTCTCTCTCTCTCACACACACAATATATATATATATATATATATATATATATATATATATATATATATATATAATTTTCAATATGTCAAAAACAATATTGGGGGGAAATATATGACAAAGAAGAAAAAAAAATTTTCGTGTGCCACGATTTTCATCGGACTAAATTTGTAAAGTTGGTGTGACTACACATGCACACGAACAAGGGATTCTGGGAATTTTAAGTACCAATGTAATAAATTTAGTATTTAAAATACACACACATGTACTAACAATATATATATATATATATATATATATATATATATATATATATATATATATATATATATATATAATATATATATATATATAT